CTTATGTTACAAAGTCACTTGGGTTGTACAGCTCCTGGCAGCTTGCAGGATAAGAAAAAGAGCAGAGGTGATCATGACCAGACATACAAGGAGATTCCCATCACGTGTGCCCACATCCCTTAGGCCAAAACCAGTGACATAGCAGGCAAGAGAGTCTTCTCCAGGCTGGTGATGAAGTTTTGGAATATAGGTGACGTTTGGTGGGGGGAGGTCCGGAGCCCACCACTGAGAAAGAACTCTTGAGACGTCTTTGGTGCAAAAGGGTGGTTTTATTAAAGCTGGAGGATGGGAGCCTGGGCAGGGAGAGGGCTGCCGGGCCTGGGAGGGGAGGCTGATTGTACCCCTGGGAGAGGGAGGGTTGGGGAGCGTGTCCTCCCTAAGGAGCTTTGGAAGCCGGGTTTCCAGGACCTCGAGGGACAGCTGTTGTGGGAAAAGGTCACTTACAACCATCTAATGAGACCCGAGTCAGGAGACCCTACAGATCTGTATCAGTGGGCCACGTGCTTGGGGATGATTGCCCACACGTGTCCTGGGGGCAGAGATAAAGGGAATTTCTAAAGGAATTTTTATATGTTAAAGTAGACGGACAGGCTCCTGGGGGTCGGGCTAAGCTTGCCTCCACCCTTAGCAAAGTCTGAACATCAAGGCTGTTGAGTCCCTAGAGGAATGTCCCTCTGCCTGTTTCAAGGACTCATCAGTGTGCTCTGTCCTCAGTGCTCCGGTCCCCCGTCCCTAGGAGGAAAGAGTAGTGCTTTCATCTATATATCTTGCCAGTTTCTGCCCAAGAAAAAGAAATGTCAGAGTAGTTGTGCACACAATAATGGGCATTACAAAAGAATACTGAGCTTCTGAGCCAAAATACTTACTTGCTTTCAGACCCCTTCAGTTTTCTCCCAGAATGAAGGGGTATTTACTTTATATTTCTGAACTAAAGCACCTACCTTAGGAGTTCTCATGAAGGAACAGTGTCTGTACCTAGAGAGAATCCCAGTCTCCAACTCCTGGGAGACAGAAAATTGGTATAGTTTGTAAATCACTCTCACAGCCAGCCCCCACTCCTGCTCTACTTCTACCCCTGGAGCACGCAGCTCCCGCCCTAAGCCATTTGCATCTGCAAGGACAGCACATCTAGCAGGACGTTACAGAACCACCCAGAAATTTGCCCAGAGTCTTTTGTGCATCGTGGGATAAAGGGATCCCTTGTCTAAGCAGCCAGTTAGCCTCTCTGCGTGACCATTTGGACAGGCAGTGGCAGCCACAAGATGTGGATACAAGGGCTTGCGCCACCAGTCATGTGAACCTGACCAGGTCCCTCCCTCTTTCCTCCAAAAACTGTCTTCGCTTAGCTTCTGGGACAGCACACGCTCCCGGTCCTGCCTCCCTCCCTCCATGCTGTTCACTTTTTATCTGCTGTCCTCCTCTCCCTAACCTCTGAATGGTACTTTGCCCCCAGGGCCCTCTCCTGCAGTGTCCTCTCTTGTATGACCCAGGGATTTTGAAAAGCTATAGAATACGTTCTACATTTGTAGGATCAGCTCTCCACACCTAACCCCCTTAATAGTTTTGGACACTGAGATAAAATTTCTCCTCCCCCTCCCTTCCTTTATTGTCAAATTATGTGGATAACTTCTACAAGTAGTCAGTAGGTCTCAGGTATGCAGCTAATTGCTAATTTCTTTCTCTTAACTTGCCTAGAAAAAGACAAAAAAGACCCTTTCACTGCCATCAGTGAGAAATGCTTTGTGGCCCTTGAAAATCAACTGAAACTGACCCTTTCAGGAAAGAGTCCCTGAAATGCAAGAGGGAAAAACAATGAATTCACAGAAGAGCTTGCTCCCACCCACTTGGAACATAGTCCCTTTAGCCAACCTGTTTGATCAGCTAGGGAAAAGCACCCCTATTTACATAACCTCCTGGCCCTTTGTGTTTCAGGATGGCATCATTCCAGGGAAGCAGTTTCCATATGAAGGAAGAAGGATAAAGGCCCACCAGTGCCCATCAGACCCTACAGGATATGGCTTCTCTAGATTGTCCGGGAATTTCTGGTTGTTTCCATTCAGTCTTGCAAAATGCTCCAATATTTGCAAATGTGTGCACCCTTTAAACAAGTCAGTGACCAAATGCTATATTAATTTAGGAAACAGTTATGAGTCGCTTGTGTGCCAACTGCATATAAGCTCTCTTACGGGGTGCTTCAGGGATCAGGGATACAGCCCTATCTTGGAGAAGCAGACAGTCAAGTGAGAAACACCTAAACATTAAATCATACTCCTAATGGCCTGAGCACATGAGGAACAGGTGCACTGTCTTTTCTCTGTGTCTTCTGCATCACCTAAGTATCACGTTGAAGGGACGCCTGGGGGGCTCAGGGGTTGAGCGGCTGCCTTTGGCTCAGGTCGTGACCCTGGGGTCCCGGGATCGAGTCCTGCATCAGGCTCCCCTGAGCAGGGAGCCTGGTTCTCCCTCTGCCTGTGTCTCTCTCTCTGTCGCTCATGAATAAATAAATAAAATCTTGAAGAAAAAAAAAAGATTTTCTCCCTCTCCCTCCCCTTCACTCTCTTTCTCTGAAATAAATAAATTAAATAAAATCTTCAAAAAAAGTATCATGTGGAAGACATAACAGGTGATCAAATCCATAGTTCTCACAGTGAATTTCCGTAATTAAAGCCAACAATGAAAAAAAAATAAAGCCAACAATGATTACCAGCCAAATTTCAGAGGGAGCCAGAGCTCCCTTCTGTCACCGTCAGGGGCCATATGACAGCCACAACATCTTACATGGTAGCAAGTGATGACAGACCAGAGGCTGAGAAGAATACTTCATGTGGTTCAAATCAAAAGGACATTTGAGTAGAGAGGAAGGATAATTCAGCGCCGAAATTAGCCTCTACACCAGAGACGTTGCTCACGAGGGGAAGAACGCTTCACACGTGAAAAAACACAAGTGGCTTGAAGGTCTGAATACTCATCGCAAAATTGGTTTTGTACTGAATTCACAACCTTAATGGTTTCGGCTCACAGGTGGCAGGCATCAAATACACAGGTGTCAGCTCACTCAGGGCTCTCGGAGCTGGGACTGGACCACAGACAGGGAAATAAAAGGCTTCCTCCTGAGGCCATTGTCCTCTCCTCTGCATCTAGAATCCCGCTCAAAACCTTGTCCACGTTTACTTATTGTCTCTGCTCTAAATAACAATGCAAGCTCCCAGCTGGGTGAAACCCAAATTAGCACAGCCCTGACCCTGACACATTTAAACACGTCTAGAGAGAAATGACCACTGTCCTCACACTGTAATTTCAATCGGCAATTTCTCTATTGTATAGTTTTTAATAGTGAAAGTGTTTTGTTTTTGTTTTTAGGTAAAATGGAAAAAACACTCAGCTGCTCAGTGAGGCAGAGATAAAATATTCTGCAAAAAAATAAATAAATAAATGAAAGCACCGATGGACGGGGGAGTACCCCTAGGCCATCAATTTGTGAACACACAACTTGTGGTAAAAGACAGGTGCATTGTTGGAGACCCACGGTCCAGAGAAGGATTTTCTTTCTTTCTTTTTTTTGAGAAGGATTTTCTTTTATTAAAAAATACATAACAATAAACACTTCATGGCAAACCACTGTAATAAGTGACTAGAGGGAATGAAAAGTCTGTCTAGCAGAGTCAAATCCTGGCACTTCCTGGGGCTTTCACTGGCTCTCTCCTGCAGCTGCCAGGCACGTTTTTTCTTTTCCACTTACAGTGTATAACAGGGGTCTCAGTTTTCTGGTCGTACTTGTGAGGTTTGTTAATCAAATGAATCTCGAGTCCTACCTGGGGTATCTAGTGAATCTACAACAGCAGGGCCTCCAGCGACTTTCTGCGGTGGGGAAGGGGGGCAGCAAGTCTCCCTTGTTTTGTTTTCTCATTGAAAACTCTGTGCTCAACGTTTAGTTGCTTTGCCCTTAATCCTGAGAAATCCCAGTCCTTGAGCGGGAACTAATAGCACCTGGGAAGGGGGGCGCCCTCATTAACCTTCTCCTCTGGTTTAAGTACAACAGTGAATCCGCTGGAAAAGTGAAGGTCGACTGGTAGGCAAGCCACCTTGTGACTGCACCCACTGTCATGGGAGTGCACTGATGGAGACTGTGGCGGGGGAGTTTGAGTTGGTAGGAATGGGTTTGTGAAAGTGCATGAGTTTGCATGAATATGTCTTTGTAAGTGCTTGTGTAGGAGTATGTGTATGTGTGTGCATTAGTTTGGGTGAATGTGTCTGCATCTGTATGTTCATGTGTGTCTGCGCATGATCATCTATGAATTCATGAATATAGACGTGCGGATGTGCGTGCGTTTATGTGGAATTGGCACGAGTCCGTATGTGTGTGCTGTGTGTGAGTTTGGGTGAGTGTGTGTATGGTTTGTGTGCGTAAGGTGTGTGTGGGTGAGCGTCAACAGTGTGTGCACGCGTGCGGCTGCTTGTGTAAGTGTGATTGTATCTGGGTTTGCATCTTGGGGTGAAGTGCACACTGTGGTGTGTGTGCATATATGAGTGCACAGTTCTGCGTGAGTGTTGTGTGCGCCGTGTGTGTGCGTGCGTGACCGAGTGTGTTGCTGTGTGCGTATTCCTGCCCGTGCGGGTGTGAGCGTGCAAACGCGAGCGCGGCGTGGCGACCGCGCGCGTGTGTCCGCGTGCACACGTGTGCCCGCGAGCGCACCCGTCGGCCGGCGCGGGCGGGCGGGGGGGCGGGCGCGCGTGGGAGCGGGGTGCTGCGCCGCGCGCCCGGCCCTCGGCTCCCCGCCGCTCCCCGCCGCCGCCGCCGCCCTTGCCCTCCCGCCGGCCCCCAAGCCGCTTACGGCTCGTCTCCCACGTGACGCGCTCCCTCGGCTGCCGGAGCCAGGGCCCCGAGGACAGTCGTCCCCGGGCTGCGCGCGCCGCGGGGCTCGGGCTCCCACCACTTCGGCCGGGGCGGCGACGCGCCCGGCGCCCTCTCGGGCCGCCTTCCCGCGGGCGTCGGGACCGGCCCTGGCCGCAGCCCGGCGCCCCCCGCGGCCCCCGCGGCCCCCGCGGCCCGGGGCGCCCTCCGCCGGCCGGGAGATGGCAGCGAGGCGGCGCTGAGCCCCGCGCCCTCGCCATGCAGAAGAGCGTGCGCTACAACGAGGGGCACGCCCTGCACCTGGCCTTCCTGGCCCGCAAGGAGGGCACCAAGCGCGGCTTCCTGAGCAAGAGGGCGGCCGAGGCGAGCCGCTGGCACGAGAAGTGGTTCGCCCTCTACCAGAATGTGCTCTTCTACTTCGAGGGCGAGCAGAGCGGCCGCCCGGCGGGCATGTACCTCCTGGAGGGCTGCAGCTGCGAGCGCACGCCCGCGCCGCCCCGGGCCGGGGTCGGGCCGCCCGGCGCCCGGGACGCGCTGGACAAGCAGGTACCGCGCGCCCTCCCCGCGCGCCTGCCCGGCCCCGACCCCCCGTGTCCGCCCCCCCCCCCCGCCCCGCCAGGGCTCTCCGTACCCCCGTCCCCGACCCCCCCGTGTCCGCCCTCCCCGCTCCCCGTCCCGGTCCCCGTTCCCCTGCCCCCGCCCCGTCCCGCCGCTCGCCCCGCACGGCTGCCCGTCCTCCCGTGTCCGCCCCTCCCCCGCCCCCCAGGGCTCCCCGTACCCCCGGCCCCGTCCCCGTCGCCCCGTGTCCGCCCCCCGACCCCGTCCCGCTCCCCGTCCCGGTCCCCGCTCGCCCCGCGCGGCTGTCCGTCCCCGTCCCCCCGTGTCCGCCCCCCTGCCCCGCCAGGGCTCCCCGTACCCCCATCCCCGTCACCCCGTGTCCGCCCCCCTGTCCCCCCCGCCCCCGTCCCGCTCCCCGTCCCGCCGCTCGCCCCGCGCGCCTGCCCGTCCCCCCGTGTCCGCACCCCCGTCCCCCCTGCCCCCCGACCCCGTCCCGCTCCCCGTCCCGCCGCTCGCCCTGCGCGCCTGCCCGTCCCCCCCCCCACGGGAACCCGGGCTCCGCTTCCCGGCTTCGGCGCCCCCGAGAGCGGGCGGGTCTCTCCGGTCGCGGGCGAACCGCGCATCCGTCCCCTCCGCCCGGCTCGGGAGGGCCTGGGGCGGGGACGCGCGTCGACACCTGTTGGGCTCAGAGGCCGCCGCCGCCTCGGCTGCAGGAGTCCCCCGCCCCCCGCCCGGCCGCGTCCCCGCACGGGTCCTCCGGCTGCCTGCGCCGCGGCCAGCGGGCCCGGGGAGGACGGGCGCTTGCTCTCGGCCCTTCTCACGGTTGTTGGTTTGTTGTTGTTGTTGTTTTTGGTGGTTTTTGTCAGTTTGCTGTGCTGACATTTGACCCGCGGGTCCCCCCGGGGGTGAGTGTGTGCGGGGCGCCCTGCGGAGGAGGACGTGCTCGCCCCCGCCTGCCGCGAGCCCGCCCGGGCGCATCTCGGAAGGACGCCGGCGTCTCTGTACTTTTCAATGAAAGCTTTGAAAATAAATGTGACCTTTTTCTTTTTTTTTTATCCTGGGTCATAATTTTATTAGTTTTCTTGTGTGTGCGTTCAGAGCGGAAAAAGCAACCCCCCTGTAGATTTAGGAACTCCTGCCCACCCCACCCCACCCCTTCCTGCAAATGAGAAATTGCTTTAAAAAATTTTTTTCCCCCCAATCACCATTCGGTCATTAAAGTTAGAGCAGCAGACTACTTTATGCTCTTAAATGTTCTCACTTTGCTTCTTGAGCTCCGCCCGGAGAAAGAGGCGATGGTCTTTGCTGGGGCAGAAAAAGTCTCGCCGCTCCCTGCGGCTCTGGCGGCTGCGGCGCGAGCGCGGGGGGGGGGGGGGGGGGGGGGCGCCAGGTGCCTGCGCAGCCCCGGCCCCGAAGACCTGCGCCAGGTGGACGGCGGGTCCCGCCAGAGCGACCAGAAGCTCTGGGATGCTTTTTTCCACTTTGGCTTCACTATAAATCATTAACAGACTTGATTGATTATAAACTTGTTACATCGCACATAAATCGGATATTTAAAGGATACGCCCTTTGGCCCTTTGAAGGCATGTTGAGGGTTATTTGAGAAACGGACTTTCAGTGTTGTAGATACAGATACCGGAAATAGAAGTTTAAATTTCAAGTGTGCATTTTAGAATTTAAGAGCACGAAAAGGGTGCTGAGGAAGCAGTTTTTTTTACAGTGTCCCCCCCTTTTTTTCTATTGGTGAGATTTTTTTCACCGAAGACCTGTGTTCCAAGGCCCCACAGAAGCCAAAAATAATAGGTTCTTAAGTGTTTTTATGTGCAAAAGAAAATAGGTACTTTGAATCACCCTGAATCTGTATCATTGACTTAATTCCAAACTATTTTTTTCTCCTTGTATTTATACTAATATCAGGAGACAATCACTTTCTTTTCTTTCCTTCCTTCCTTCGAGCTGAGGGTGTGAAGATGTTACTTGCTGCAACTTATCTGGCTGGCTGACCAGTTAATCTATGAAAACCAACATTTTTCTACTTGGAAAATATCTGGACTCTCCTCTTCAGGACAGTTTTCTTTACAATACACTTTACTCGATAGATATAATCTCCAGATAGTATGACTTTTTATGCCACTTTCTAAGAGAAGTCCTAAACAGGTCATCCTAGCACAAGAAAAAAAAAATTCTGTTGGGCATACAAGTTATGAGTATTTCTCTTTTATTCGGTACATCTTTAAGGGGATAGAAACTGGAACCTTCGGTGTGTGGTGTGTGGAAAAACATACAGAGAACAAGCATTTCAAAATGGATTAGGAGTTGGATTGGGAGATCTTGTCTTCTGTTAGACACACTCCTGTGACTTAGGTTAGCTGAGCAGATTGCTGCTTTTCTCGAGCGCTGCCTGCATGGGTGTGTACGAAGAATTAAGAAGAAACTGCAAAGATAAGAAACAAGAAGCAGCATCCTATCTTTAACCTACAGTTTATGCAATGGGTTCCCTTTCAGTTCATTTGTGTTGCTACGTGCTCACGTTTTTCTCAAGCACCTAGACTGGAAACTGGCAAAGGTGGTGCACTGAGCAGGGGCCATGTGTAGGTCTGCTTCTCTAAATGTGCTTCTGGAGCTTTCCGAACACATACCTCTATCAACCCCAAAAACAGCTGAAGGTTAGGGCTTGCAGCAGGACTTAGGGAGGCAGCATAGGTTTCTTCCACCACGTTGCTGTGACTTCCCTATGCAAATCCCTCAACAGTTCTTTTTTTTTTTTTTTTCTGTGAATGAAATCTGTCTCCTAATATTTAAAAATTAAGAGTTTGGGGAAGGTTTCAAGTTGCCTTCCGATAATGACATTTCCTGTTTCTAATGTTACAACAGCAGCATGAGCTTTTGCTGTGTAGAGGATGTGCCGGACTGTTCCACAAGACCGAAAGATTACCAGCCTCTGTAATAAATCTTAAATCTGAGAAGCTAACGACAAGCAGGTGATCAAAGTGGACATCCTGGTAAATCAGTTAGATTAGCAGATGTGCAAACTACTGGTGACATCATTGCTAGACACGGAGACTTCTTATTTACAGCGGAGGGTGATGTATTGCAATGCTGTCGACACTTATAGTTAATGTAATTTTTGCTCTAGCGTCCCTCCAATTGTTTTTGTGAGTCCTGAATGCTACTTATCTTTCAAATAATTCTTAAATTCTGATTGTGTTTTTAGGTAAGCGATAAGAGGAAAACACTCATTGGTTTGCTTCTTCTAAAGAATTCAAAGTTGGTTGACAAAAACATTAAGGTTTTTTTTTTTAAACCACTATTACAGTAGTTTTTTAAAAACTATTTCCAGTTAAGAAGAAGAAAGACAGGGGTTTTTCCACTTTCCAAATGTGTCTAGGTTGAAGGAATATTTACATATTGCCCCAGTTTTTCAAGAGTGTCCCAAAGACTTCACTTTGGTTAGGTTCTTGGTTGACTGCAAGGCTCTCAAATTAAGTTTCCATCGTGGCTACTTTTTTAGGTACTTTGTAGGTGCTATAAGCAAAATAGTTCAGCTAAAAAAATTTCAAGGAGTGGTCCTTTTCTTGAACGTGTATGTTGGTGACACTACTTTCTGAAGAAATCTCCATTTATGTGAAATGAAAAATTTACTTTTCATTCTACGTAAAGGTGTTCAAGGGGAATGGGAATATGAGCTTAACAAGTGCCTTCTGTGCGCCGGGCTCTGTGTAATCCTCCACCATCATGAACCTCACTTCAGCTCTGAGAAATTGGTAGTACTTTTTTCGTTTGCACCTGTGCCAGCACTGAAACTGAGAGCATTCTAGGGAGGTGAGGGTGATCGGAGTGCAACTCCAAGTATGAAGGTTGAGTCATCCTGAAGTGTGCCTTAGGAAGGATGCTACCCTAAGTTGATTGAGCTTCAAGAAATTTAAAATCTGGTTCCCCCGGGTGACTCAGTGGTTGAGCGTCTGCCTTTGGCCCAGGGCGTGATCCTGGGGTCCTGGGATCGAGTCCCGCATTGGGTTCCCCACAGGGAGCCTGTCTCTCCTGCCTGTGTGTCTCCTTCTCTCTCTGTGTCTCTCATGAATGAATAAATAAAATCTTAAACAACAAAAAAAGAAATTTAAAATCTGAGGAGTGTCTGAGTGGCTCAGGTGATGATCTTCGGGGTCCTGGGATCAAACCCTGCATTGGGCATTGGGAATTGAGCTCCCTGCACATCGAGGAATTTGGTTCTGTCTCTCCCTCTACACCTCCTTGCCCCCCCCCATAGTGCATGCTCCCTCTTACAAATACATGAATAAAATCTTTAAAAAAAGGAAAAAGATTTAAAATCTAAGCGGGATGGGGGTTGGGATCATAGTATGTGAATCCCTATTTTGTTTATTCTTATTTCCCTTTAAAAACTATTTACAGGGTAGCTGAAATTCTCAAGAAATGTAATTGCAGACCATTGCATTTTGGGGCGCCTGGGTGGCTTCAGTTGGTTGAGAGTCTGCCTTTGGCTCAGATCATGATCTCGGGGACTTGGGATTGAGACTCGTGTCAGGGGTCCTTGCTCAGTGGGGAGTCTGCTTCTCCCTCTCCTTCTGCCTGCCACTCCCCCTGCTTGTGCTGTCTTGCACACACTCTCTGTCAAATAAATGAAAATTCAAAAAACACACAACTATTTACAGTAGTTACAATTCTTGAGAAATGCAATTGCAGGCCATTGCATTTTTAAAGAAAAATGAGACTTATGTGTAAACAAACAATTTTACGTGGCATTCATTTCCTTCGGTAGGGGATCTTTAGAAATATTTGCACTTAAGTGAAAGTACACGTCGATTAGTCTGGTCCATTCAAGTGGCTGTATATGTCTTGCCGGCTGGCAGGCATATAGGAACAAAGCTGTATTTATTCTTATTTTCTTGGTAATGTTAAGTGTTCTAGTCACCCTGATTCCAGTTGTTTTTGGAGTAAAACATCTTCGTTCTGGAGGCTTAAAGTAGTAG